AGATTGACCCAACAGGATTTCCTGATGGACTAAACATTGCTTATGAAAGGAAAGAAAGACATCAAAGAGGCTAAGATTTGTCAAACTATGTGTTTCCTATCACAGCTCTAACAAAATGGAAGCTTAGCCATGATCTGTATAGGGGACAGATACCCTGACCCGATTATAAACTTATTTCAGCGGGATATCTGAGGACCAGGCCAGATGCTCTTCCGTGACATTATTCAGCCTTTAAAAGTCCAATCACAGTTGAAAATCCAAAAATCCACATTAATAGATTGTTGCATGGTTGTTATCAACAGGGATTTGCTAGTCATGACTTTAATGCTGGAAATTTTTCATTAATATTAATTGAAACAACGCATGAGTTTTTTGGTCACATTTCCTTGTAAGAATTCAGTGAGTAACTTCCTATTCACCAAGTTTAATTCAATTACTCACTTGGAATTTTGAAAAGAAAATGAATATTTGATTCATATGTTTTTATTTCTTCTGGAAAAAAATAACCATTATGATCCTGAAAGAAAAATAAGATACAACAATATGTCCAATTATTTCATTCACACTGACTCTGTGTCCCCTTCTATGTGTTGCAACAGTTAGGGAACACACAGAAGTTATAATCATTCCATTTATGAGAACAATTTTAACACTTCAGAGCATACGCCCTTTCAGGGGAATGCCGGTGCCTGTGGGTCTATCTGTTTCCATAGGGATAAAAGCCTCTGGCTTTGACAAAGCTGTTTTAGAACTCTGTGGAAGGTAGCATGATAACAAAGCAGAGGTCCCTCCTGCCGACAGGGACATGAATTCAGCTCAGAGATTCAACTGGCCAGTGGGAGCAAGGGAACTATTTCCCAGGAAGCTTGCTTTGGTGACTGCAGCTGGCAGGCTGGGCTCAGCTGGCACTGCTGACCGGAGAAACTAAATGTGAACTCTTGCGTGGCAGCTGTGTCCCAGGAGAGAGCATTTGGTGACCAAGTAATCCAAGACGCCGTGCAGGTGCTGCAAGGCTTTGACCTTGCTTGGGATTTCTGGATCATCCCTCCCCACTGTATTGTACTGACCATAGGCGAATGCCCAAGGGCAGCCTAGATTTGAGGGGAGGACTACTCCCACCCTCTTGGCAGTAAGAGTGTCAGATAATTAGGGCCATCTTGAAAACTTCCCTGTCTTCTGAAATCCTTAAATGTGTTTGACAGCATGCACATTAGTAATAAGTCTGGATATGTTTCCTTTAGAAACAAATGGGATATTCATTGACAGGATATCATGACCCTGCCACGGTGTACTTTTTTATTTTGAAGGCTTAAGCTTTCTTTTTTATGAATTTTATTATAAATAATGCTATCTGTCATGTTTGTTAAGCCTTGCACAAGATTGCATTTAAATAATCTCTGCTATAAGGTCCTATATCTGCATTTTCACTTTTAGGATGTAACTTAAGTAAAATTAAACTTTTATGGATCCACATTTTACTCCATAGTGTCAGATTATTCCTTTACATGTAGCAGCTGAGCTTGAATATTTTTCGCATTATTGCTTTCTTCTGATAATAAAGTAGCCCATGGGGCTGGAGAAGTGGCTCAGCTTTCGGAAGTGCTCGCTGCTCTTGTAGAGACTGCAGTTGGGAGCCCAGCTCCTGTATCAGGAAGCTCACCTCCACCTGCAACTCCAGCTCCAGAGAGCCCACTGTCTTCTCCTGGCTTCACACACATGAGCACACACACACACACATGAACACGCACACACATGAGCACACACACACACACATGAACACGCACACACACACACACACATGAACACACACACACACACATGAACACACACACACACACGCATGAACACACACACACGAACACACACACATGAACACACACACACACACATGAACACGCACACACACACACATGAACACACACACACACACACATGAGCACACACACACACACATGAACACACACACACATGAACACACACACACACACACACATGAACACACACACACACACACATGAACACACACACACACACAATTCTTTTCATAAAGCCAACACACTCTAAAGAAGGGTATATTAGTGCCGCTGAAGGGCTGTAATAGTCACAAACCAGGGAGAAAACATTAGAATAACTTTCTTTTCCTTTTGTAGTATTTTCATTGAATCTGCAGAAGTGTATACCATATGTATGCCCATGCCTCCAAAACCAGAAAAGGGCTAGAGCTACAGGAAGTTGTGAGCCATTCACCCAGCATGGATGCTGGGAACTGAACTCGGGTCTTCAAGAGAGTAACCAGCGCTCATTTTAATTTTGTAAGAGATTGTATTTCTTTTTATTTAAAGCGTATGAGTTGCATATGACTGTGAGCTGCCATGTAGGTGCTGGGGATTGAACCTGTGTCTTCTGGGAAAACAGCCAGTGACCTTAACCACTAAGCCATCTCTCCAGTTCCCAACTTTTCACATCAGAACCCAAGAGCCAGGTCTTGTGGCCTACACTTGTGATTCCAGTACTTTGGAGACTGAGAGAGGATACAGAGAGAAAGAAAGGCCAACCTGGGCTACAAATCAAGACCTTGCTGTCAAAATAAAATATAAATAAATAATTTTTAAAATACTCTGACATTCATAATGAGAGAGGCTCGGTTGATTTTAATGGTTTAATAGTCCAGACTCACTGCTGTGGTGCTTCACAACTAGTTAGCATATACAATTAAACTGCATAGTGTGTATACACTGATATAATTTGATATAGACTAATATAGTATTTTTTGAAAAATATCAGAATGAGATGCCTAGGCACAACTACATAACTTCTGAGACCCAGTGTAAAATGGAAATGTGGGTCCTGCATAGAAGCAGATATGCTAGCAGCCCTTTCCAAGAGCACCCTACCTAACCCACGCAGACATGTGACCCAGTTGAGGCTCCACTGTAGACCCGGGAGGCTGGCTGATCCAGGGCACGAGCAGTGAATTCAAGAACTGGCCTATGGAGGAGACTGTGGGAAGCTGGATCAGGCTTGAGTGATGGTTTTAAAACACACAGACACAGACAGACAGACAGACAGACACACACACACACACACACACACACACACACTCAGACTGCACCATGGCCCCTTCCACTTCATTGACCAAACATACATCCAAGACAAAGGCATTGAGAATTTCACAATGATGACCACAGACCATCAAATGTCGAGCACAGGGACCTGGTGAGGAGGGGCTTCTCTTTTACAATGTACAATGTTGATGTCCACAACAAACCAAAGAACAAACAGTCCTTTCTTGACCCATCTGCCCTGTCACAGCCTTTCCTCGTGCAGCAAGTTAGTATCAGTGGGGGAGAATCATGGGGCTCACTCTCACACTCTGGGTTGTTTTTTCTTTTTTCTTTTTTTCTCCTAGTCACAATTCACAATTCCTAGATAAGGACTTGAGTCCCTAAAAGGTGGGACATGTCAGAAAATTCAGCCTGAGACCACAGCAAGAGCATGGCCGGGAGTTGGAAACTGTCAATTCGAAAACCACAGCTGTCATCTTAAAGGGAATAAGAGATAGGTTGGTTATTGTGGATCCATTGGGAGTGACGATGGCCTGGGAACACAGACTTAGGTTACCCCAGATTCCACGTTCCAACGTGAAAGCGGTTCCATGAAGTTTTTATAGGACGAACAAAGTCATAAATCAAGGCAAGTTTCAAACCCATTGGTGGGTAGAGTGAAATGGGGGGAGCTTTTCTATGGGTCCACGATGCTATCTGAGCTTTTGGGTTGGTGGAAGCTAGCAGTATGCTGCATTAGTAGATTCCAGAAGATTTTTATCTATTAGTTACAAGACGTTCCTTCTGCCACAGAAGTGGGCAAGGATGGCCGCTGCGGAGGGCTAGAGCAAGCTGAAGACGAGGCAATTGACCTCTGAACCTGCAACATTCACACCTCTCCACAGTACTGCTGTTCTAATCAGCCAGTCAGTCTCTGCAGACGCAATTCTTCCTGGAGTCTTAGTTCGCACACCCTGGCTGCCTTCTCTGACATCGCACGCCTCGAGTCCTTGTCTTCATCTGTCTGGACCTCGGCTTCCTTACTGTTAAGTTCCTCCTGTGGCGGTGTTGGTTCCCTCACTCCTGTTGGAAGAGTTAGACTAGATTAATGCTCACATTCCCTCCCAGGTCCATCCCTGGGACAGGGCCATTTCTGGCAGAGGACGCATGGCCTCTTGACTGTTTTGTCTTCGTTTTTAATGGACTGGCTGTAATCGATGCATTTCGATTCATCAAAGCCATATCTCAGCCGTTTGTCCTGATGCTGTTAGCGCATAGAAGCCAAAACAAATGAGGTGTGAGTAATCTGGATATGTGTTGGCCAAATGGGCCTCCATGCCCAACAGCAGATGGGTCCATTCTATCACCCTAGATTTTTAATAACGATAATTAATACCTAAGCCAGGTCCTTTTATCTCAGGTGCTCAAAGGGCTTTGTGGCCATTACCCATGCATTTACCTGCCTCAAGCCACCCCAAGGTCAGGAGGCCTCTTCATACAACAAAGAGAGAGGCCTGTGACTAACCCTCAGGTGGGGAAGTGGAGGTCACCAAAATAGTTCACCAGGAAGATTCAGTAGAAACTTCTCCTTTGTCTGCTGCCAGCAATTCCACCACTCACAGGGCTGCTGCGTGGATGGGTTCTTTTTTTTTTTTTAATTGTTGCTTTTTTTTTTTCAGTTTAAATTTAGATAAGAAACAAGGTTGCTTCACAAGTCAGTTCCAGGTCCCTCCCCTCCTCCCGTGCCCTCCCCCCACAACCCCCCATTATCCCCTCATTTCCCCAGGGAGGATGAGGCCCTCCATGGGGGTGTCCATAGTCTGTCATTTCATATAGGGCAGGGCCTAGACCCTTCTCCAAGAGTTCAGGGTGAGAGTGCATCTCTCATTATTGGATGGGAGTCCAAATTCTGTGTGTATACTCGGGATGGGTACTGATCTGCTGCCCAAGGCTCAATAGATTCCCTAGGCCTCCTCACTGACACCCACATTCAGGGGGTCTTGATCAGTCCCATGCTGGATTCCCAGGCGTGGATGGGTTCTTGTGGATGAGCAAACGGTCCCCTGCAGAGCCCAGATTCCCTTACTGTAAGCTTTAGCCTTACAGTTACAGGGGCAATGGTGATGGTGAAAGCAAATGAACCAACCCGGAAGGTTCCTCTCTTAAAGGAGAAATGTCCTCTTTAAAGTTAGGGACACTCTTAAGACAGAAGGGTTTCAGAACGAACCTGTCAAGGGCTTGTTAAAGACCTGAGGTCTCAGCAGGTGGTCTCCAATAAGAAGCACGTGTTGAAAGCCACACTGTGGAAAAAGTATCTTCTCAGAAATACTAGATTCACTCCGATCATCCAACTGCCCACCTGGCAGATGCTCTGTCCACATGGGGCCAAGTGCTGTGGAATAAAGACGAAACTCCTGATGCCCAAGCATCTTAAACCTAATCAAGGAAATGAGGTTCATACCGACAAGTTGACAGGTTTCTCTGTGCAGCCCTGGCTGTCCTGAAACTTGCTCAGTAGACCAGGCTGGCCTCAGAGATCTGCCTGCCTCTGCCTCCCAAGTGCTGGGATTAAAGGCCTGCACTACCCTGCCTGGCTCATGCTGACATATTTCTTATTCACTGTTATTCATTTATTTACTTTATTATTTACTGCTTTACATCTTTACCGACACATTAACTCATAAATTAGGCTCCTCCAAACATTGGGATTTCTTTCATTTCGAACAGAATGTATTCTTAGGTATTGTAGAGTTTGGTAGAAGGTGATCAATGAGGACTGGATTGAGTCAGGAAGGCCAGAAGGTTCCAGGAGATCTGATGAAGCAGACCTTAGAAGAAGAAGGGCTTAGGTGAGGACCAAGGTGCACGGAAATAAAGGTAAAGGCTCCTTCAAAACAGAAGCAGCGTCTAAGACGAGCTGAGTGAATGGGTCTTATTTCCTTTCAAGACTCTGGGGAAACAAACTTGGCTAAAGCATGCAATCTGAAGATCTGGGAGGAATGTGGTCGGATGGAAAAGGTAGAGTTGGGTCCTAGGGTATCTCAAAACCAAATTAGGTGCACTAACGTGGGCTCTTCAGATTGTGTATGGGGAAAGTCTCACAAAGGAAACTGGAGGGTCATTTTGTAGGATTATATAAGTCACCATAGAAAAAATTAAATACATTACTTCAGGATCAGCTGGCGACCTTTAGTTATGAATTCCTTCATCTCTGGACCTAGGAATGTCCAGATGCAATGAGACCCAAAGCAAGTGTGTTAATGAGGCTGAGGAGAGTAAAAATGAGAGACTACAGTCAAAGCCCTGGGAGATAGCAAGAATGGTTTGTCCAGGAGACCATCCACAGTGAGCAGACGGGGTCTCAGACAAAGAAAGAGCAGAGAAAATGGATTTCCCCTAATCTCACAGTTTTATCCACTGTCAGCTATTTGAAGACCTGGGGTGGGTAAAATTGCCCTTCCGTATAAAGTCAAGGTACTTTGTTAAATGGGAGCCCTACAGAATTTTAGAGTTAAAACCAGGGTTTGGGAGAAGCCCCTGAAATAGGGAGCAAGCATCCTCCCCGTAGCTTCCTAAGCACATTAGGAGACAGTCGATTTCCCTAAAGTCACAGCTCTCTGGGCCAAGGCATCTGGGTCAGCAGTAAACGAGGAATAATTGCTCTCACCAAAGGGTTCCATGCAGAAAAGTTGCCGTGAAACTGGACTAGGTGTGTCCTTCTGTCCTTCCGGTTCCTTTTATAGACACTTCTGGAACCTGAGTGAGGGCCTGTAGGTCTTCCGCCCATTTGAGGAGAGATTAAAGCACCCGAAGCTGCCTCCTCCTTACTCACTTGCAGTCACAGCTTCACCACCACTGCAGCCTCGTGGGCTTCCTGAGGAGACACAGAGGAGGTAAGCCGGGGTCCAGGGCCGTGGCGTCAGTGCGAACTGGGATCACCACTCCTTCCAGATGGATTTGGAGTCGCTAAAGGGCAATGAATGAATGGGGCTAGAGGTGTTCAAAAAATGCATTTGTTTATTTTGTTGTTGTTTTATTTTATTGGCATCAACTTGGGGTTGTTTTTCTGGGCCACCTCAATTAAGTCAGGGATTTTAGTCCTAAATATCTGTAAAGTTACTTGAAGGAATCCGACATTTTGCATACTTCTTTTTGATGAACATAACAGGTTGCGTTGGGCTGACTTAAATTAACATGAAAGAAAAGACAGACATTAAAATTGCTGGAGAGCATGAATGGCCCGTCTGTTTTAAGATGGGCATCCGTGACATGGATGGCCCGTCTGTTTTAAGATGGGCATCCGTGACATGGATGGCCCGTCTGTTTTAAGATGGGCATCCGTGACATGGATGGCCCGTCTGTTTTAAGATGGGCATCCGTGTTGGAGATAATCCAATCAATCCCACTAATCAGACAAGAAGATTCTGTTTGCTTTCAAATGCAGTATCTAGAGTCCTCAAGGGAAGAAACATTCTGGTTTCGCTCTGCAGAGATGGAGCTAAGATAGTGTGGAAGGGTGGCATTCCTATGCTTGCAGACTATACTTGTACCTATCAGATCTTTATCTCACCCAGGAAGGTTGGAGTTAGACAAGTTTTAAGAGACAAAGAAAATTTTACTCTCAGCTGGGTGGTAGTGGCACATGCCTTTAATCCCAACACTCAGGAGGCAGAAGCAGGCGAATCTCTGTGAGTTCCAGACTAGCCTGATCTACAAGAGCTAGTTCCAGGACAGCCTCCAAAGCTACAGAGAAACCGCGTCTCAAAAAACAAAAAAATGAAGGAAAGAAAGAAAAGAAAATGTTACTCTCCTGTGTCTGGGTGACTATTTTGGTAAAGCCATTCCCTGCTTATACTCAGGTGTTTTCACTTAGAATGAGGGACAGGACTCCCAACAGTCATTCTCCTGGGTGAATATAAAGTCACGGGTTGTCCTCATCTCTTTCACAGGAGACCAGACATCTGTTCTTGTGAGGTCTACCTTTAAGTCACCATGTATGAGGACTGCGTGAAGTCCACAGAAGACTATTACTTCTTCTGTGACAATGAGGGGCCATGGGGCATTGTTCTGGAGTCGTTGGCGGTGATTGGCATCGTGGTTACCATACTGCTGCTTCTAGCATTTCTCTTCCTCATGCGGAAGGTGCAGGACTGCAGCCAGTGGAACGTGCTTCCCACCCAGTTCCTCTTCCTGCTGAGTGTGCTAGGGCTTTTCGGGCTGGCTTTTGCCTTCATCATCCAGCTCAACCAACGGACCGCTCCCGTTCGCTACTTCCTCTTTGGGGTTCTCTTTGCTATCTGCTTCTCCTGCCTCTTGGCTCATGCCGCCAACCTGGTGAAGCTGGTCCGGGGTAGAGTCTCCTTCTGCTGGACCACAATTCTGTTCATAGCTATTGGTGTCAGCCTGTTGCAGATCATCGTTGCGATAGAGTATGTGACCCTCATCATGACGAGAGGTTTGATGTTCGTGCACATGACACCCTATCAGCTCAATGTGGACTTTGTCTGTCTCCTCATCTATGTCCTCTTTCTCATGGCCCTCACGTTCTTTGTCTCCAAGGCCACCTTCTGTGGCCCCTGTGAGAACTGGAAGCAGCATGGAAGGCTCATCTTTGCCACTGTGCTGGTCTCTATCATCATCTGGGTGGTGTGGATCTCCATGCTCATGAGGGGCAACCCTCAGCTCCAGCAGCAGCCTCAGTGGGACGACGCCGTCATCTGCATTGGCCTGGTCACCAATGCGTGGGTTTTCCTGCTGCTCTACATCATCCCCGAGCTGAGCATCCTCTACAGATCATGCAGGCAGGAGTGTCCTCCGCAAGGCAATGCCTGCCAGGTGCCGGTCTACCAACGCAGCTTCAGGATGGAGAACCAGGAACTCTCCAGAGGTACATCCCGGAGGGCCTGGGGCAGGGAGGGAAGTAGGCAGGCAGAGAAGAACCCAGAGGGATCTCCCTGACAAAGGCCAGACTTTTGGTGAGTCATGTCAAGCACAGAGACAAAGTCTTTCAGAACCAAGTGGAAAGCAGATCTTCCAAAACATAGGCTTTATGTGGAAAGAACAAGATAAAAAGAATTGAAGGCTCTCGGTGGAAAGGTGTGACTGTTGCTGGAGCTTGGCAAAGACAGTCACCCACTCTAAAGTGATAAGCTTGCGTGGCAGCTCGCACAGAGGCAGATACAAGAGGCTCAGGAGTTCAAAGTCATCCTTGGTGACACAGAGTTCGAGACCAGCTTGAACTACATGAATGTCTCAAAACGAATAATAAAACAAATAAATAGAATGAGTTACCCAGACCCCAGGCTAGGAGTGGATCAGGCCATGCTAAGTTCAGACAGGTTGGCTATCAAGCACAAAAGTAGAGTCTGGCAAACACAATTGGCATTTTAAAAGTTTAAGTCTGAAAGTTAGTTTGCCCGGATAAAATGTAAAACTGTGGAACTCGTCACTCATGAGAGTCACAGAGCTCAACTTCTGGGTTCCTATTTTGCCAGTTGTTCACTGTTTCAAAAAAAAAAATCTTTCAAGGCTCCATTACAAAAAGAAATAGGAAAAACCATTGAATCTGAATCTTAAGCAAAAACTCAGATGAGTAATCATTAGTGCAGGAAGCAACTGCTTATGTGACATTTTCTTGATAATTTGTAGGTCACATGTTTATCTATGTATAAATCAAGCCACCTGTCTGTTTTGTTACGGGTTGACATTAACCATGACACCAAAGATGCTTGGTCCACATCAACCTGGAGGAAACAGTGGCTAATTTCAGTAATCTGGATATGTATCAAAACTCATTAATTCCTCTTACGAAACATCTGACATTATCTATAGCCCAGTGTAGTGTATTAATAGATAACTGATTTCTCCCATTTTCTTTCTACTACATCACAAAGATGCTATTTTATATATTGTATGGGACACATCATATTTGCCAGGCTCAAAAACATTTAATATAAGCTTTCCTTTTGAGTGCATCGTACCCTTTCTGAGCTGTTATCTCTAGTTAATTACACATTCATATTAAATCCTGTCCGGATAAATGCATCTATTTGTTCTTTCCAGTTTAGTTGATGGAGAGCTGGGAATTGATGAGATATATCCTTCCTGCAAAATTATGCATTGTTGTGGATGCTTCGTATTGGATCCCTGAGGTTTGGGGGGAGAATTGCAGTCTGTCTTTCTTTAAAATTCCTTCCCTAGTTCCTATCCAAAGATGGGCTAAAGGTTGCTGTTTTCTTTCTGTGTTGTGTGATCCCAAAGACAGAGAAGTTCTAGTAGTACCATGGTATCCCAAAGCATGCTTATTGTGCCCCTTATTTCATGCCCCCCCAAATGTCAGACATGTGTTGACGGTGTTGTAGGGAGGGCACTATCCTGTCTCAAACAAACAAACAAACAAAGATATTTAAAGTGTTTCCAGGTGTGGTATAACAAGCTCATAATGCCAGCACTTGGGCAGCTGAGACAAGAATGTTGTGCCAAAGTTGGTGCCAGCCCGTGCTCCAGGATGAACTCCAGGCCTTGTGAAGACTGTCTCAGAAACAAGGTGCTGTAAGGAGAGCAGTGTTCCATTCTTAATTTGGTCAGAGCTACCCTACTACCCAATCAAGATTAGAAAAATCCATTTCTTGAGCCGGGTGATGGAGGTGCACACTCTTAATCCCATCACTCAGTACTGGGGGGGAGTGCTGCAGAAAATTAGACCTCTGAGTTCAAGGCCAGTCTAGTATACAAAGTGAGTTCCAGGACAGCTAGGACCACAAAAAACAAAGCAAAACAAACAACCTGGGTGATGGCGGCACACGCCTTTAATCCCAGTATTGGGGAGGCAGACACAGGTGGATCTCTGTGAGTATGTGGCCAGCCTGGTCTACAGAGTGAGTTTCAGGACAGCCAGGGCTACAAAGGAAAACCCTGTCTTGAAAAACAAAAAAAAACAACAACAACAAAAGAGAGAGAAGGGAGGGAGGGGGAGGGGGAGGGAGGGGGAGGGAGGGAGGGAGGGGGAGGGAGGGAGGGAGGGCGGAAGAAAGGAAGGAAGGAAGGAAGGGAGGAAGGGAGGAAACTCCATTTTAAACAGGAAATAGTCTGCCGATGGTAGTTATTGTCAGAGTCATTTGATGATACAATAACATCTTGCTTTAAAAATGCAAATCGCCCTCCAAGATTGGGCAGAGTCACTTGAAAACTTAGACCACAGACAAGAATCAGAATGTAAGTCTGGAAAATACAATTATCAAAACATAAAAAGAGTCATTGGAATGCAATAGAAAGTGTAGGGTTACAACGAGGTAGGAAGAAGAGAAAGCAAGTAGGGCAGCAGGTAAGAGCCAGCACGTTGGAAAACCACAAGCATTATCATGGCTCCCGTGGAGGTAGATGGACAGCAAACCCTTGGCCTGCGCAATCTGTGTACTGAAGTGACAGTCCTAGTGTAACCAAACAGATGTGCGGCTGGTGAAAACAGCCATGCCTTGTTCTCGGCATCAGTCGGTCTCCAACATCAACATCCACTAATGAAATGTGTGGGGCACTTGGGGAGGCTCTGTGGAAAACCACAGGGATGATTAAAGGGCTTAGCACCACACCTGTGTGGAAAGGTTAGGACAGTAAAACTGAGATGGTAGTTTTAAGTTTTATGCACCTTTCTCATAGCCAATCTGTCTGTCTCAACTCTATCCTGAAACATGGCGTTTTTGTTCTGGTCCATGAGGCACACCGTGGCCCTGTAACTCGTCTGACTCATGCTGTTTGCAACCATGGCTCCAACGGCATTGTTATTTGATTTACCGCTGGGCTTATAAAACCAGAATTATGCAGCTGAGAGAAAAAGGAGTCAAGGGGTGATTAGCAGAGAATTTCACAAGTGTAAAGACATCTCTATGGGAGGCAGCTGTCCTACTGTTTTCCATCTCCAACTAAAAATGGGGTAAAATGAACTTGAACCAATGCCCGAAGGACCACTACTAAATGGGGAAATCAGAGCTGGCAAAGGATTTGCTGGAACCGATCAGCAAGAGGGATTAGAGACTCCATCCAGTTCCTGGAAGTCTTTACAAAGATTAGGCTTTAAAATCTCTCAGAAGTAGCTTATGGACTTAATTCTAGAACAAGACAACATCTGGATGCAAATGCAATCAGAACATAGCAGATTTACTTATATTGTAAATGCGCTCCTAAAGAACAGTATATTGGGCTGAATAAATGCTCAGTCAATGAAGTACTTAATGTGCAAATGTGAGCCTGCATTTGATGCTCAGAGCCCATATAAAAACCCAGGTGTGGTGGCACACACATTTGTTACTCCAGTAGTGAGGAGGCAGAGGCAGGAAGAGGCTCCCTGCCCAGCCACTCTGACCAAAGGTGAATCTTGGCTCGTGAGAGACCCTGCCTCAAAAATGCATGATGGGCAGAGCTGGGGAGGTGGCTCAGTGGGTAAAGCACGTGTTCCAGAAGTGTGAGGACCATAGTTTAGATCCCCAGCATCCACGAAAGTGCCAGGCAGACATGGCAGCCTCGTTATGCCAGTCTTCACCAGGCAGAGACAGCCGGGAGGTCCCCCCACCCCCTGACACCAACAAGCCGGCTACATAGGTTAGATAGTCCCTGCCTAATATGTAAGGTATAGCAGAGGGGAGCCAGAAGATTCTGTCACCCTCTAACCCTGTGTGTGTGTGTGCATGCACACTCATAAGCATGTGTGTACACACACGATACACATGTAAAATCACCAGGATGAATAGTATCTATGGAATAACAACCAAGGTTGACCTCAGGCCTCCCCACACATGAATGCACACACGTGCAATCTAACATACTTGAGCGTGCACACACAGCTGTACATTGATAGAATTTTCAAACCAGTTGTTCTTCGTAACCCTTTTTTTTGTTTGTTTGTTTGTTTTTTGTTTTTCGAGACAGGGTTTCTCTGTATTGCTTTGGAGGCTGTCCTGGAACTCGCTTGATGGTCCAGGCTTGGTCTCAAACTCACAGAGATCCTCCTGCCTCTGCCTCTCAAGTGCTAGGATTAAAGGCGTGCACTACCAATGCCCGCCCCCCCTTTTTTAAAAAAGATTTATTTATTTATTTATTATATATACAGTGTTTTGCCTGCATGTGTCCCTGCAGGCTAGAAAAGGGCACCAGATCTCGTGGTTGTGAGACACCATGTAGTTGCTGGGAATTGAACTCAGGTCCTCTGGAAGAGCGGCCAGTGCTCTTAACATCTGAATCATCTCTCCAGCCCTTGTTTTGTTTTTTGAGTCAGGGCCTCATGTAGCTCAGGCTAACCTTGAACTCCTGACCCTCCAACTTCTGTCTTTCCAGAGCTTCCCTTGAACCACAAACATATCTTTGTATTGTCACAGCATTTGATTAATATTTTACAAGCTCAACATATTGTTAGGCTCTGGGAATATTATCATAAAGATACCCAAGAATACTGCAAAAATGTCAGTGTATAATTGAAGTAATTAAAATGTATGAGTGAAGAAGCCATTTATAAATTATGTTTGTGCTTAATTAACTAATTTATATGTATCTGGGATGATGGTATCTTAATGCATGCCTCTTTAACTTGATTGGTTGGTGGGCTATGTTGTTTTCTGTTTGGAGTTAGTGGATTTCAGAATGACTGTTCTCCTTAGTTATCACTAACCCACCCCCCTCCTAAGTAATAGCTAGCCCCTTCCCCCCAAATCAAAGGCAACTTAACTAAACCAGTTGTTTCCACTGAGGACTTGAAGAGATCATAAACACAGTAGAATATTAGTAACAGATCTTCTGGGGACAGGACAGTCTCCACTCTAGTTATTACCTGCCTTAGCCATTATAGATTAAATAGAATATTGTTCATATCAGGCTTGCTAAAAGCAAGATCCACCAGCT